CAAAACTGCCAATGTTAGATGGGTAAAATTAATCTAACCCAGATTTTTTGTCCCTCCATAGGTGGGTTTGCTCTCCGAGTAGAATAGTGCTATAACTTCAATACTACTTCCATTTCGATTAACTCTAGCATTTGAAAAAAAGGTGTTCATTCATTGAAGAACATCAAATAATTATATAATGTTATTAATAACGAAGTATTTCGGCAAAAACACCACCTTACGACAAAGTCGCATAAATATCGAAAACTTCTACCTAAATTCAGTGTTACCACTGATTTGTAGCGCTCGAAAAGGTTGCAAATTGTCAAACAAAACGCTAAAAAATGGTTAGCGTACCCAAATCAACACTGCGTTCTATCTTTAGCTTTACTATCTAGCGAAGAAAAAACACAGCAATAAAGGAATCCGTCGTCCAATTAGTTACATTTTCCGTGTAGATCTTCCCTGGAGGGAGCTCTAGCAATAGAAGAGAATAATTCTAATTTGTATCTTCTGAAAAGTCGTTTTTTTTTTTATTTGAGAGGATTTAAATGTTTAGTCATATAAGCCGGACGATTCTGCCAGCTTTGCTTGGCTCTTGTTTTATCTTTCACTTATTTACCTAATCTGATTCGTTTACCTAGGCTAACAAAAACCACAGGTTGTAATGCGTATTAACAGTAATCCTGTTGAAATTCCTTTTTCGCCTAACCTATTATCTTTCTGTAGTTATTGTATCAGGTTGTTTCAGTCGAATGTTTGCCAGAAGGCTAAGCCAACGCCATGGATTTATCTAGCTCGTGATAAATTGGCTTTTGATACGTTTCGATAACGTGGTAACGAGGCCTATTTCGTTAGGGCTGATCGATTCCGCTTCCAAGATGCGCGAGACTAGGACTGGCCGTCGGCCAACTTTTAATTGTGGTTGCGATCAATAGAGTCAGCTACCTTACTGATTTTTTTCTCAAGGCAAAACGAAAGCTTGTCATCTTTTTTTTGTGTATTACATCGATTAAATGTTAGTAATTATCTTAGGTATATATATATATATATATATATATATATATATATATATATATATATATATTAAATGGAGACAGAGTTATGTTGATTGGCGTATTGGTTCCCGTCTTGAGACGTCGTCGAAGGTTGAAGATTTCTGTGTCTTTTATTTTTTTCTAATAAAATAGATGTATAATTTTTTTTTCTATATTTTAGAATTTTTACCATGAACAAATAAGGAAAAGCTTATTTTCACGAAAATCAATTCGATACTGGTCGCGTCAATTTTCCTATTGACATTTATTAAAAATTCGGTTGAAAAGATCGAAAGCAGGCTTAAAACATGTTTCCGCCACCTTCGCCCAGAAATACCCATCTTAAGTGTAGGTATTGCCTTTGCATTAAACTCGTTGAGATTTGAGTGAGCCTTAAGAATAGGAACCTTCGCATAGCATAGAACACCATATTAAATGTCCACGCTTCGAACGGTATTCTTAACTCGAACATTTAGGTTTAAGAACTGCGCTCACCGAGAGCTTTCGCTTGTCTAAATACCTATCCTTATATAGATGTCTTGAATAGAATGGAGTACAATAAAGAACATTTGGTTTTAAAGCCGAAGTATCAATTTAAGGCATAGAAAGATATATTCCATTCTCACTCAACTTAGTTAAAAAAAGAAAAGGTGTGAAGAATTGGGGCCAACAAGGTAGTACCTTGCATTGAAAAATGTTCTTGATTTTTCTCTTGCTGTCATAAAATATCTTATAGAATGCATAAAAAAAAAAACTGAATGTTCACCGTATCCGCAGCCACCGCTTTCCAGCTATTTATTTACTTCAACCTTATTTTATACTTGTTAAAAAAATCGCTAAAAAGATCTTTCTACATTCTCTCGGAGCTGAATCTTACCAACTGCAATATGGAGGAAGCAAATGTCATATTCAATTTTTTTGCCTATTTTACGCCAAAATGCCCATTTAAGGTATAAACGCATATATCTTATTTTCACTCAGCTCGCTGAAATCTATCGACTAATAAAGAAAAATATTCCCTATTACCTAGAAAACTACGTTGCGTTTTTAACTTTCAAAGATGGGAGGCATTTTTCTTATCTAAGAATCGGCATTTGGGCGTAGAAACACACGTAGTAGTATTTTAATTTAGCTCGTCGACAGATACAAAGGATCTCGACCCGACGACCCCTCCTCCCTACACGAATCTCCATTCTATAACAGTAGGCTGTCTCTTGGTTGAAAAACTTCAATGAAAATTTTACAAAAATATAGCTTACCTCAGCTCCTATAACTTTCGCATAGACATGTACAAAGTATTGTTGCCAAAAACCGTCGAAAAAAGCAGAAATGAACGACGCACCTCATTGTCGAACGAATAGATATCACCAGATATTAGAATTAGGATCAGATTAGGATAGCACCTTCATACAGCAAAAGAAAACTACTGAATAGGAAAAGTCTTCGCCGAGTTAAATCATATGAACTGCGGCGGCTCATATTGAACTAATTAAAACAATATGGGTAAAAAATGCCATTTTGCCACTAAAAATGAGACACCAAATTATATATCTTCGAACATTTATTATAGAACTTGAAATAACAAGCAACCTTCCGATAAAAACTTTTCGCAAATTTTCACCCGTTATCGAACCAATCGCACTTCATCGGCCATTTTTCAAATCAACCACGATGAGAAAAGGAAATTGACCCCCTTTTCCCCATAAAGAATCTACATACTTAAAAAATGAACTAAGGCAACTTATGTTTGATAAATTGTAAAATACTTCAACAGAAACAATTTCTTTACCGGTAAATAGTAAGAACAGAAAAAAAAAATATCTAAAATTACCCTAAAATTAGACCCAATGTTTTGCCCAGCCCGTAAAGACCTAAAAAATAAATTCATAAATTCTACAAAATAGTACAAAAGTACCATTTTGCTCAAATTAACATTAGGATCTCTCGGGAAGAAAAAAAAAACACTGGAAAAAACGACATCCAATAGACTTCACATCTTAAGCACGGATCTTTGCAAGAGCAAACTCTTTCGACCCAATTCGACCACTCTCCAGAGTCGGTTTTTGAAAAAGACTTCATCTAAACAATTACTTAAATGTGTAGCACTTCCATGAAAACATCGCACTGCTATTAGTCCCCATTAAGGTTGCAGGATCAATGAGAGTGCAGCTGCCCAGATTAGCTCGCGTGATAAGTTGACCGCACACCTAGAATGGGGCCGTGTGATGCATAAATGAGCTCGTTTCCGGTAGTACGCTTTTTTGGAGACCTTTACGTTTGCGCAGTTTATCTGCAAACCTAGCTGATAGGGTCCTGAAAACAGTTTGTGGGAACTCTCGCAATGTTGATGGAGGATCTATTTTGATCAAGATCGACCTTATTTACAGATAATGTTATTGTGAAATAGCCTAGGTAGCATTAAATTTAAGTTTAATTCTCTATTTTTACGAACGGAAAAGTGCATTATCTAAAGCTAATTAATACATCTAAATACCTAGGCAGCTAATAATTATGCTAGTAGACACGAATGTAACAGATATTCAGGTTCATGAAACGTATTCAGATCAGTCCATTCAGTCACGAAGTACGTCTTGAAGAGATCCAGATACCTTCTACCAACTTTCGTTGTTATTCCAATTAAGAGTAAATACGCCATATGTCTAGCCACATCTTGAGGGAAAATAGCATATTGTGTCCAGTGATCGTTGAAAACCTATGTATGTATATATATATATATATATATATATATATATATATATATATTTAGTCAGTAGCCATATATTTTACATATTCATAAATTTACTGCAAATACAAGTGAAATTCTACGGCCATTTTATTGGCGACGATCTCGCACGGGGAGCTAGATCTTATATTAGTTTACCAAATCGCTTTAGAAAACCTCTGGCTTATCACGAAGTTATCACTTGGCGCCTCACGCTTTTGTCTAAGTAATGGAACTAAGAGAAGCGTTCATAGACGCAACGTCGAAGTGCGGCCCCTTTATCGCCTCGTCCTATTGCAAAATATTATCTCCCTCTCCCTATTTTTTTGTCCTCCTCGTATATCTCGCGTAAGCGCGCGACCGATTTCTGCCGGCGTAGCGTATTTTGCCGCTGCAAGCCTATCGCCCCCACAAGTCAGCCAGCAGAAAGCTAATTAAAGCACCTCTTATTTTCGAGAAAAATTTGTGATTGCTGCCATAACTGAATTTAACTAAAAACAGATATCATTCGTTGTTCTCTAATTATTTTCTAACTCAGGTTTGCAGCTAGTGTGTCAATAGTGAAACTAGCGACGCTAGAACCTACCAATGCGTCATCAACGTAAAGAAGCAGCAGCGTCCAACCTGTAAATAGCGTCAGTCAGCGTAAACGGAAATGATGGTCTTAAAACGAGGTGCGAAAATTCAACCGTGCTGGGCTCCATTATCACCATAGCAATACCGCTAAGTCGAACTGCACCGCGGAAATTCCTAGCTACCGCCGTTCCGCAGCCTTCTCGCCCGAGCTGCCATGTCCCTCGCCCGTTGCAGACCTTATTCGGTTGCTCGTTAAGGTACTGACCGCCATAGTCGTATCCAGCAACAACAAGCACTATTGAAACCTCATGTAACGCCATTGGTCGACGTCGTTGTCAGCTGAAAATTCAGCTAAATAGTCGCTCCTTGTTTCACTTACCCGCTCTATGGCGCGACCGATGCAAGTGGATTTGTCTTCAGCAGCGGCACAACTAAACCTACCATGAAACCACTGATAGAAGCAGTCGCCGTAGATTAGATCGTTGTCTCGCAGACAGACGACCGTTGTCGCCGACCGACCGACTGACCTCCTCCTCCTCCTCCTCCTCCTCCTCCTCCTCCTCCTCCCTCCTCCCTCCTCCCCCGTCCCTCCGCCTCCGCTTTCTCCTCCTCCTCCTCCTCCACCTTCTTCTCCTCCTCCTCCTCTTCGTCTGCCTCCTCTCCGTCGGTGCTCGCTAACGGTGTGAACACTACCGGTTGAACCAGTGGTAGAACGACCGCTGGCTGAGCGTCTATCAATGCAGCACCTGCGACTTCTCAAGCGACAACAACAACAACAACAGAATCAATTGAAGTTGTCGCGTGGACAACTGTTCGTCGTAGAAGTAACTTTTTTTTTTACTACGAATCCAGTCGAAGCAGACGGCCTCTGCTCGTTCGATACAAAGCAATTGCTCTGTTTTTCCCAATAAGCTACAAGTGTTTAGTCATTCGCTTGAAGATAGAACCGTTCGTCTAATCGGGCTCACGTACTTAGCAGGCTCGAGCTGTCTTTTACTTCTGCTCCACCAACTGTTCAGTTCTCACTGCGAGTACTGAGCGAGCAAGTTTCAAATCACACATAATGCCAAGTCTGTAAGCGTGTTTTTCTAACAGTAAATTGACAAAGGCCGAGTATCGAACCCCGAACAAGCCAGGGGCATTGAATGTGGCTCAAGCATATTGCAATGTTGAACTGGTGTGAAACAGCTATAGTCACGGTGTTACCTTTCTCTTAAGGAGCAGACATTTGATTATGACGATTTTGTGAATTTTCGTGATCTGTGTGATAACAGTAAACTACGGAGACGACTTCGAAAGTTCGTTCAAGCAAATGACAAATACAACTCAAAGTAATCTATGTAACTTGTGCGCGTCTAACAGCCAGATTAAGTTCGTATCTCGATTGGGGTTCCCATAGTGTTTGCTTCAAAGCGTTCTAGGACAGATTTTGGCCCTTTACAATTAAGAAATCAGAATGAGTGGAGTGGTGGGAGACCTTTCGCCTGAGCAGGAAAAGAGCCTAGCAGAGGTGAGTGAACGCATGTGTACGCTGATCTTCTAGATAATGTGCAATGTGCTACCTAGGTGGCATTCGTATTAAGGTTCCTTGAGTAATTCAAAATATATCGTCGTTCACAAGGACGTTTTTTGTGTCAATAGACGTAAAAAGCACACCGTATACGGTGCAATTAGCCCTAAATTGTATCGTACGACGTTCAAAGACCTTTCAAATAACAACGTATAGTTCTTCTTAAAGATATTCTATACGCCTTTTATACAGTGTATATGTATTATCTTTTGTCGACCTGTACAATTAAACACTCTATCACAACTCAGATGATGACTGAGATTTTTCTTGTTAAACCCTACTGCTCTAGTTAGATAGATTCTATCGTAGAACGAAAACGTTGAGCGCCTTGCTTATCTTTTCCAGTGTTTAGATTATCCTGTTACTACATATTAAAGTTAATCAATGATTGTTATACGTATGCATACATAACTTATATTTTAACATTTAAATAAGGAGTAGTAGGGTTGCACGATTGGCAATAGTATGGACGCAGAAGATACAGTTTTTACTTTCAATATTGAAGCAGGATATTGATCGGAGGTAAATGACGTGGCAGACTCTAGCGCAGTTTACAAAGTAAAATTAATTTTGAAACTAAACCGCCAAAATTACATCGACGGTAACGCTGCCTGGTGGCAGCCTGGACCAAACTTGCCCGGCACAACCTAGATTGGCCCTTGTTTTCAATTTCTTTAAAAAGTATCAGTGCGCCTTGATATTATCATGTACTTAGACAAATGCTTCCAATAGTACAAGGGCGTCAACAGCATAAATGATATGGAAACGCTTACGCGTAAACCTAAATAATTACAGAATTGTACCGTTCAGTAAAGAAAGTTCATCTATACGTTTCGTGTTTTTGATATGATGCTGAATCTCAAAAATAATTTATTCACATGCCGTAACGCATCCTGATGCCTAGACTGATCCAATCTTTCGATTGTCGACGCCTCTTACGCAAGTCCGCGGTGACCGCACAGCGCCATGTTTCTCATTAAGAAGAATTATTTTAACACTATTGGCCTCTCTATATAGCAAGAAAGTTATGAAAAAATTATCTGAAAGTGACAAATGCCAGCGCAGAATGGGTATGAATTTTTATGAAATCAATTTTACAAATAATAATAATAATAACAACAACAAAACGCAATGAACGATCTAATCAGCACTGAAAAAACAAGTGGGAAAGAAGGCAGGCGTATTTCGTAAATTCGTAACATAACCGACTACCTTTGCTGCCAATAAAAGCAAGAACGAAAACCCCTTAATATATTCAGAGACAAGCACATATATGTATAAGGTGAGTGATCTATTAACCAAAAAGCAAAACAACAACAACATTTGGATACAATCTTACGTGCCACGCAGTACGTAAAAGCGGCTTTCCCATATAGGATATAATTTGATTATTATTATATTGAATGGGCGTACATTTATTATAGATTACTTTCACCGAATGGTCTAGAAACGATGTGCTAAGAAATGTTGCCCGAGGCGCTTTTTGCTACCGTCGCCTGTAAGAGAAATATCTTTCTACGTTAGTCGTCCCTTTATGATTATGTAATATCAGCTATTTCATCAAGGTTAAACGCTAACAGAATATGCTAGTTTGCTATATGTAGGTAGGAGACTTTGGCCCATGCAGCATTTCAGGGTGAAAGTAATAAAAAAAATATACAGAAACTTGCTTATCGCTAATGTCACTTGATTTGTTTTAAGACAGCGCCATTGACACTACTAACAAAATCGTCGTGTATATCTTCTGTCGTCAGTTTATTATGACTTATAATCCCTTTAACTAGAATTACGTTTTTGAGAATTGACGTTACGCGAACAATTACTTGCGACAAAGTTATGAGCTACGCGTCTCGAAAATTCTCTAAAAAAATATACAACTTATCTATTCCCTCTTTTAAACAGCGCAGTGAGCTGCAGGCCGACATAGACAGCAGTTCCAAAAGCAACGTAACTATGTCGTCTCATTGACGTGTTCAGCCTGTACAGTCTCTATATGCATATAGGAATTGACTTATTATGATTTCCATATAATTCCCGTAAGCTTCATTCTAGATCTCTGATCCATTTGTTTTTACAGTCACCTCTATAAGAACCTACTTGCACCTGAGGTCGGATATTGCTGATATGGTTATGAAGCCATAGCCTACATAAAGTTTATGCGATCGATTAAGGTCGAGTCGACCAAAGCACCTATTATGATTCGCTAGTGTTTGCTTTTTAAATCGAACAAGATCTTTGTGTATTTTCAAACCCAACCAACCCGTTTACGAAGTGGTCAAAGCATATTTGCGTTCGCCATATAAGACGGCCGATGCTGCACCTTCATACTGTTTTGGTAAAATATAGGTACCGATGTACCGACCTCTTGATGTAATGTTGATTTTGTGGCAACCTAGGATTCAGGATCTCGGAAGCTGAAATACTTGCTTTCAGTTTGCTAATTGATGCCGATATGATGCTGAAAGCAACGACGTGCTCCGTTACTGACTTTCGAAAGGTTTTTATTATCGATGGACTCCTTAGAATCTTGAAGGGGTTCTATAAAGCCAGCAGTCAGCTACAGTCGTCCTAATCGCTCTGGCCTGAAGCGGCAGTTAGTAGCTTTGAAAATATAATGCTCAATAGAGATTCATTTTTAAGTTAATAAAGATATGACGTAGTGCATGCAGGCGCTGTTTTTGCCGGAACCTAACAATAACGATAAACATAGTAGTATACATATTGCACGACAGAACAGCCCCCTTAACAAGGAGCCATTTAGATTCGTAGCGCTAGACGAGTGAGCTTAATTATTAAAATGTTTTTTTTTTTTTATTATTATATTATTTATATATTTATATTTAATGGCATTGTTTATATTTCGTATCATTGGGAAAAATTATCACAGGTGGCTATACGTTTTGAAGCGATGCGAGTGGTCATTAGTGCGTGTATGCATCATCTCCTTATGCACTGACTTAGGAGTGACACCGTAATCAATCAAATACTTCGAAAACTCTACATTTTAAATTCGATACAAAGTTTTCGGCTTCTAGACGAACCGGCCAAACTATGAGTAGTGCGCCACTCCGTAGAGGGCCCATAATGGAGTTGTGGGTAGGACAAACAATATGTTACCGTCCCATTATGGGTGCCAACGGTCGCGCAAGGGGGCTTGGCTCGGGCCCAGAAAGGATTATCTTGTTATCAATAGACTGACAAATATTTTTCGTTAGAATATTATTAACATCAAGCTTTAGCTATAGCTATAGCTGTTCCAGTGACACATGGAAAAATAGCAGTCAGATTTGTCAAAGGTAATTGATCGGAGATGATTGCGTAGGCTGCGGAGTGTTATCGACATTTTCCTGTAAAAGGAGAGGGCTAACAAAGACAGAGATAACGAAAGATTAAGGGTTCAGTATTATCTGTACCTTGGCCAGGTGGAGACGGGGGCGATGGAACTGTAGACCAGTACGCATGGAAGAAGCAATATAATGGTGGAGTCAAATGAAGGCGGGGGGCGGGGAGGGGGACGACGACGACTACAGTCGTACGTCGATTCTATTTTCTTTTTGCCCCTTTCGCGTGCACGCCAATTCATATTGACCTCGTTCTTTATGGCTCGGGTTCTTATTCGGACAACAGTGGCGAACAAATGAGGCTGCTTGCGTGTTCGGGCCTACCCGATCAAGATATGACGGAATCAATAGATCTAACGGAAATATTAGTAAGAAGCAGCCGCGGTAGCGATGGCAGTTGCAGCGTCACAATGGCTGGCCAACGGGCAAGCGTAGTTAATCGTCCAACAATAGCTACGCAATAACAGTGCCCGCGACTGGCCGCTCTCGGCAGTAGCCCGTTGGCTATGTTGTAGCACGTTGGATGGATGGCTGCGTTGAGAGATGATGGGAAAATCAAGATTTGTATAAAAAATGGAGAAGAACTTGAGATACTGTTCTGCAGGGACAATGAAGATGTAGGTACGAGGACGAGAACCGAGTAAGCTTATACTTGCTCACACTAGGTCACTATTCTAACAGATACAACTGTTGCAGTTAGACTGATCACATCCGGGTAATTCGGTAGCCGCCGTTGTGCTTCTGTACTGAGGGGCTCTTAGGAGTCTTTGTGATATCTGTACCCAATTTTTCATAGGGCTAGACCAATAGCTACCAGGGTTTACCACATACTGAATAATACTTTCTGATACGCATTTAATCTAAGGAGAATGAATAAACATGTTTGAAACTGAAAGGCAAAAGCTGTATTCGTACGGTTCGACAATAAACCAGCATGTTTAGTCAAAAGTAAATGCTGTAAGGATTATTGAAACGTACGTTTGTGTGTTGTTTCAAGGTGTCCAGCGTGATAGTAAATGCTATACTGAAGTCCTGTATTTTGACTCATAGATTTGATGTCTACTTGCCAATTGCGAAGAACGTATATACGTCATATAAAGCCCTATACCGTATAATGGCAAACATTTGTGCGTACGACAAGCCTCGTAAACATTTCAACGGCAATCATTCTCTGAAGGCAATAAATATCTAATTCGCTGAAAGATCTGTTTTTCAAACAGAATGCCCCCCTCTGTTTATCCATTTGACGGTATGAACTAGCATTATGCGCTGTTGGGCATTTAATTGGCCGCTGTTTTTGGGGGTCGGTCATAGGAGATAGGCTTGCACTCTTGTCTTTTCATCTTCGAAGCCGTATTTTTCACTGACGCGCTGTAACAGGAAGTAGCCCGCACAAAGTTGAAGCCCAACTCTAATAGCCCTATATATTAACATAACTTCTCAGCTTTACAGGGGGCATAGATTTACTATAATATACAAAAGCAGCCAGCATGTATCTATCTTAATTTCGTGTGCTAGGAATAGATTTTCTCTGCTTGTTTCTGTTGCACTATTATGAGGACTACTGTTTGGTCCGAAGGATAACGACCCGTTCGCACA